GATGGAGTCAGCTGACTATGCCGAGGCGCCGGCAACCACAGCCACTCGGTCTTGGAAGGGTTGAGCCTGAGTCTGTTCCTCCCCATCCAGACCCGTACGGCCTCCAGGCAACGGGCCATCACGTCAAGGGCATCGTTGGGGTGGCCTGGGGTGGAGATGTACAGCTGAGTGTCATCAGCGTACTGATGGAAATCCACCCTGAAGCCACGAATGATCTCCCCCAGTGGCTTTACATAAATATTGAACAAAAGGGGAGAGAGGACCGACCCCTGAGGCACCCCACAAGTTAGGGGTCTAGGAGTCGACCTCTGTCCCCCTGCCAATACAGACTGCGTACGGTCGGTGAGGAAGGAGGAGAACCACCGCTTAACGGTGCCTCCCACTCCCAACTCACCGAGACGCCGCAGCATGATACCGTGGTCTACGGTATCAAAAGCTCAAATCCTCAGGCAAAGTTAATACAAAAGGAACAGCAAGTCCAGATAGATGGTTTTAATACATTCAAGGAAATTGCCACCCACACTGTATTTTGGGTAAAGTGGGGGAAAAAAATAAATACTTCCCTTCTGGTTGATTGCAAGGTTGCTCTCTGCATTTAAAGAAGTCAGGGCTAAATTTTTTTCCATTAATCACATCAGTGAAACATATTTTTCCATCTCTCTGCAGAAAAGGCTGCAGATCCTTAAAATTGAAAAGTACGCAGCTACGTTCTCCTGCAGCCAACACAGCTGCAGAGGAAGGAAGTTTTATATAGGCACTCCTCGAGTTATAACAGTTCATTTAGTGACCATTTAAACTTGCAACGGCACTGAAAAAAAGTGATAGCAGCATGTTTTGCAGGCAGACCTCACATACTGTGAACACTATACATTCAAAATTTTGTAGCCGACAAAGAGTTAAAGGGAGACTAGTATAGCTATTTTGAGCTATTTAGCTCTCAACAGCTAGCCATAGCTCAAAATAGCTATACTAGTCTCCCTTTAACTCTTTGTCGGCTACAAAATTTTAAATTTACAGTTGTCACAGTAGTGACGTCTGCCTGCAAAAAATGGAGCGAAAAAGCAGTAGACCGGGTGTTCAACTCAATATATATATATATATATATATATAGCTATATATATATATAGCTACCGGTTCTGCTGAACTGGTGTCAACTGGATGAATCCCACCACTGCATACGTACGTACATATGTACGTACGTACGTACGTACGTACATACATACATACATACATACATACATACATACATACATACATCTTATAAACACAAGATGGCAGCCTTTGTTATGCTATCCAGATAGTAGATGAATTGCTACTTAGCTGAACTTCATTACAACTCTCAAGTCACCAAGAGAAGAGAATATTTATAGCTCAGGGTTGAACTGTGGGGTCCTTGATGCTCTCTGAGGTTGGCAGATTCCTTGCAGGCGTTTCATGACTTGATCAGCCCTGATGATGTTACCTAGGTGGGTTATAAAACGTCTGCAAGAAAACGACCCAGCCCAGAGAGCACCAGGGACTCCACAACTCTCAAGTCAACTGCATATGGAAAAAAGAAAATAAGTTTGTTACCTTCTCTAAATCGGTCTGTGATGCTTGCAAGAGGGTTTGACCGGACAGTATCCAGTGTTTTCCGTTGCCGATGTAAAAACCCAGGCCCTGATCGTGTAGCCAGTTACAGACTTGTTCTTTCGTCCATTTAGCAAATGGCATGTCCAAATCACTAAAGAATAATAGGCAAGTAGACATTGTTTCAAGATTGGATACTTATGTCCTTTGAGACCTGCTAATGGTGGATCTTCCAGAATCTAGATGTTGTCCTAAGGTCCCTTCCACCAGTCCCACCACCTAGGAAACCCCGTGAGATAACTATTGACTGCATGTGAAGACCATTTTTTCTAATCTGGGTTAGAGCAGGGCTTCTCAGCAAAGTCATGGACTTCAACTCCCAGAATTCCCCAGTCAGCAATCCCACTGGCTTTTTTTTTCCGGGTTCTAATTGTATTCTTTTCATTTATCTAGATTGCCCATCTATAAAAGCTCTTGAAAAATGTTGGAGATAAATCAACAGATAAGCACAGTAAATTCCCCCAGGAGTGACTGGCTAGAATGAACTTTTCTGGAATAGAACATAGTTCATCATCTTTCAACTGTCCCCAGAAGTGCAGAGTGGCACACTGGAGGGGAAAAAATATATATATCAGGGTTTGAAGCATTGTTTGCATACAAACAACTCCTCACTAAGCTATTTTAGTTATATTTTTCACTTGTTTAATCATTAGAATTATCATTTCCTTTAGAGGGGGATATTTGCGGCTCAGAGTTGAAATGAGAGGTCCTTGGTGCTCTCTGAGCTTGGTGGTGTCCTTGCAGATGTTTCATGACCCAACTAGGTAACATCATCAGTGCTAGAAGGGAGAGGGGTGGGAGGAGGAGGAGGAGGAGGAGGAGGAGGAG